CGAGGCACCCCCCCACTTGAAAGACGAGCGTCCCATGGGCCCGCGATGGAAGCGGGAACGCTCCTGTTTGAAAGAACCTGCCACCATCCTTCGAGCGACGAAAGAATCTGCAGTGCGGTGTGACGCACAGAGACACACTAGTACTAGATGGAGGTGCGCGTCCGACCCGAACATATAGTACACCAATACTGTAGCATATCGTTTCCCGAGCGGTGCGGCCAGAAAGCGCCCGCCACGACGCATATGCAATAGTATTGTTCGATGCCCGCGGCGGCCCTGGGGGGGGGGGGGGGGCGACACACACACACACACACACACACACACACACACACACACACACACACACACACACACACACACACACACACACACACACACACACACACACACACACACACACACACACACACACACACACACACACCACACACACACACACACACACACACACACACACACACACACACACACACACACACACACACACACACACACACACACACACACACACACACACACACACACACACACACACACACACACACACACACACACACAGAAGTACATAGTATACTAGGGTGGCGCCGACGTGGTCTCGCAAAATTGAAGTGCATGGCGGCGGCAGCCCCGCCTCGAAGAAGAATCGCCATGTCTCCGTGACGCTGTTGCACATGCTGTGGCTGTTGGTGAGACGATCGAGCAAATCCTCAAACGAAACCCACTTCGAAAAGGACCTACCCTCCATCCGTGTAGCTGTTGTAGATGTTCTGCCTGTGGTTGTACACTCTGATGGAGTCCCCAGCGACAGCCCCATTTTGAAAGGACACCGCCCTGCATCCGTGGATCTGTCAGAACTGTTTCAGACGAGCGTGCGCGGCGCCACGGCGAGAACCCCATTTTGGTAAAGCGTTCGCTCTCCATCCGTCCACGTAGCTTCTAGGAATTCTATGCCTTAAGATCCTGCGAAATCAGAATGCCTCAGGCGAACCGCCTGGCCCGCCCTGACGACACGTCTGGTGGTGTGGCCGGGCGGAGATATCGATAAGGTAGAGGAGTTGGGCTGCGCAACAGTGCTGGGAGCATGTGCGAAATCATCCCCCGACACCGTGTAACCTTCGATTGTGGATTCGGCGCGCCTCCACAGGGCTAGCGGGGCCAGAACGCGTCTTGGCGCCTTTGCGTGCGCGTCCCACGAACGCACCCCAATACGACGCAGGCGGTGCGAGGAGGGCCGGCACAGGCTTCTGCTGCCACTGAACGGGGCAACCACACATCAGGATAACACACGTCCTGGTGACCATCGGCAGACGCAACAGCAAGGGTTGAAGCAGCAGGTCTGGCAACGCCATGGGGGGTCACCACTACCCATCTGTTGGCAGAAGTGGGAGAAATCTTGGAGTACGAAGGCGTTGAAAGTGAGTTGAGTTTCTGCCCGCCCCCTGGAAACAAGGAAGGAGCGTGGGACACCACATCGTTACTGGTATACGGAGGCGCCTGAGTTACATTAGAATATGGTGGTCTCGATCTGTATATATACATATTCTCTATATATATAGATGTATGTATGTATGTGTATATGTGTCTATATATATATATATATATATATATATCGACGAGCGGTGGGTCGGGGAGGGGGGAGGCGCCAGCTCCCCCTGAGGATCGAAGATCGAGAGCCGAAGAGGTTTTGGACAATGTCGACGGTCTTGGGCGGCCGGGTGACCCTCCTAGTGGTGACCCCTGGTGGCACAGCCTGGGCAAGGAGAGAAAAAGTGAAGGCATGACCCGTCATCGCCGAATTGGGATATCGGATCGGACCGGAACGTGCGCCGGGTCGGGCTGCATCGCCATGAAACCGATGTGACATCGGATCGGATCGGAAGCGCCAAAATGCAAACGTCTTGAGCATACCGGACCGCATCGTGCCGATGGAAGATCCAAATCGAAACGTCACGACCCTGCCGAAATCAATATCGAATCGGACCAGTCGGTTCGAAATCAGGAAGGAGTCATGAATGAGACGGGGGGGGCAAAGGAGGGAGACAACTCGGCTACTCCTCTTCGTCGCAGCGCGGCAGATGCGAGCTGCGCGTGCGCTCTACTGGGCCGGGCTCGGGCACGCACTACTACCTGTCCGACTGCCAGAAAGGGGTAGGGCCTGGAAAGCGGCCGCGGAGGGCGGGAGACACAACGAGGGCACGCCCTGCATGAAGACCTTCGTCAGGAGTGGCCAGTGCGGCCAGCCTGCGCCGAAGCATCCCGGCAAAGACGACTCGGCTACACGCAAGGATGACCCTAGGCAGCAAGGACTCTTGGTGCGCGGCCAGCCGGTCGTTGCAGGCGGCCGCGTGCTGGGGTCTGATCCCCCCCCTTCCCCCCCGAAAGCCGCGCACCACGGTGCCACTCCAGCAAAGGGTCCCTCTTCCGTGTGGCCCCTCGCTGGGGGGGAAGCCCACGAGAGGCAAGAGCGCAGTTGGAGGGAGAAACAGCTGCATAACCATAAACCCCTGATGATCACAGGGCGGGGAGAAGAAAATTCGGAGTTCGGGGGGGGGTAATACGGCAGCTCCTCTGTACGATGATATGCCAGTATGGAGCAGCGATACCCTGGGAGGGGGGAATAATAGTGCCTGGGGGGTGGGAGCAGGAATCCCTCGTACGTGGCTGTTTTCCTTGGAAGGGCTGGTGGCTTGAGACGTTCGCGTGCCACTCGCTCTGGCAAGAGTGTCTACTCGAAAAATAGATCCGGCGCGCCCCAATTAGGGAACTTCCTTTTGAACGCGACACTGGAGCGACCTCGACAAAATGAAGCCAGCGCGTCCGCACGACTGGCATCCACATGATATTGGGTGTGTATGTATGTGTACACATGTGCGTTTACATATGTATGTCTGTATGTCTGTATGCCCGTGTGTCCGTATGCTCGTATGCACGTATGCATGTCTGTCTGTCTGTCTGTCTGTCTGTCTGTCTGTCTGTCTGTCTGTCTGTCTGTCTGTCTGTGTGTATGTCTGTATTTCTGTTTGACTGTATGTATGCGCATATGTATGTATGTATGCATGCATGCATGCATGCATGTATGTGTATGTGTACGGACGTATGTGTATGTATCTGTGTATGCATGCATGCATGTATGTATGTATGTATGCAATGTGTGTACGATTATATGAACAGGTATATGCAGTCGCGCATGCACATACAAATGTATGTGTGCGTATGTATGTATGTATGCATGTATGTGTGTGGATGTGTATATACGTATGTGTGTATGACTGTATGTACGTATGTACGTATATGTATATGTATGTATGTCTGTATGCAACATTGTACGTGATTATGCCTGTAAACATGTATGTGTGTTCAAATGGTTGTGTATGTGTATGTGTGTACGTATGTATGGCTGTACGTAGGCTTGTATATGAGCAGATTGTATACATGCATCGATGTATGTATGCATGCATACATGCATGTGTACATACATACATACATATATATATATATATATATATATATATATATATGTATATGTGGCTTACGGATGCATGCATGCCTGTATGCATGCGCATATGTAGGTAAGTATGTATGTGTGTATGTATGTGGGGCAACAGGTAACGGGGGGCGGGGAATCCGAGGAACCATTGGAACCCGAGGAATCTCCGAGGAACGGGCAACGTAAGAATACGAGGCACTGGGGGCGGGGAACCCGAGGAACCCGGGGAACCCGAGGACACTCCGAGGAACGGGCAAAGTAACAATAGGAGGCGCCAACCATTAACCAAGTAGGAACCCCGTAGGCAAGCCTGATTGGGAAATTACAGCCTCGAGACTCTCGGCCCACAGCCCTGCAACACGCTCGTGATTTGGAGACGGCTCAAATTATGGGAGTCCGATGGCCCTGCCAAACATTCGTGACTTAGGACAACTCAAACAATGAGACCCCCATAGCCTTGCGACACGTCAGTGACTTGGGAAAGCTGAAATGGATATAATCCCATTGTGCAGCCACGCGTTTGTGGGTCAGGAGAAGTGTGATGGTGAGAATCCCAAATCCTTCCTACAAGTTCGCGGAAGTGTTGCTGTTCAACATAAGAATATAGCAACTTAGACTCGTACGTTCCCCGGCGATAACGAAGTCCGGCCTCGCCGCCCCTTTCCCCCGACCACCTCTGTCCTGGCTCGGGCGAATCGCCTCTCCGGGGTCAGAGGAGTGATGGTTCCTTTTATCATCCGGGGTGCGCGGTCAAACATCGAGTTTAGGAGGTCCGCGCGGGACTCTTGGATCGCGGCGCGCACAAGGGGGTGGGGGGGGGGGGGGCTTCTCAGAAGCAGGCTGCTTCTGAGAAGGCGCCGGCCTTACATCTATAGATAAGGCCCGCGCCTTCTAAGAAGCAGGGGTGCTTCTAAGAAGCCCTCCCCCCTCCCCCCACCCCCCTCTGCGCGTGGCTGAGATCTGCGCTGGGCACCCCCTCCCTGGCGCGCGGGGCGCGCGAGGGGCGGTGCCAGAGGCGCCGCCAGGGCGGGCCCAGGGCCGATCCGCCCGATCGCCGTCCGCCGCAGCTGCGGCCTGGCGGGCGGCAGCTGCGCCTCGCTCCACACCGCCAACAGACTGCGCAGTCCACGCGAGGCGCGTGCCACACAGCGGGCACGTGCGATGATACATCTTGCGATAAAACATCTTGGGGCACATGCTTCGTCGACCCCTTGAGGATCACAGGGTGCCCAAGGAGCTTCTGTGGGCCCCTTGGGGCCAGAGAAGAGACCTCCGTAAGGGTCACCTGCTGGCAGGCCGACATCTTCTCTAGGGTGCCTACTATGCAATGTCTATCCCGCCACACCCACCTGCTAGGGCTGCGGCGATCCTGCCCCGCATGCACAGGAAGAAACGACATACACGCAACGTTTTCCGAGCTCCACGCGGAGCGCCGAACATGTGTCATCGTATATCAACTTTCGTCTCCGAAGGCAATGTCTTCCCCGCCACGTCCGTCTGCTGGGGCTGCGGCGTTCCTCTCCCTCACCCGCGTGCTCCGGTCGTCGTGCACCCACCAGCCGACGGGCTCCGCCGGGTAGTAGGTGCCGTCCGCGGTCCACGCGTCCGAGAGCCTCCGGCTGCGCTGGCAGCCTGAGGCGGCGCACCGCGCCCCCCCAGCGGCACAGCAGCTCCGGGAGCGCAGGAGCGCAAGCGTCGAAGCGGCCATGCACACGACAGGCAGTCCGTGCAGGCAGCGAGCTGGACGCCTCCTCCTGCTCCTCCTCCTCCTCCTCCTCCTCCTCCTCCTCCTCCTCCTCCTCCTCCCCCTTCTTCTCCCCCCATCTGCTCGCCCCTTCTCCCCCTACGTTCACGACCTCCTCCTTCCCCTCCTCCGACTCCCTCCACCCCTTGTCCTGCTCATCGTCTGGCCCCCTCCTCCTCGTCCTCCTTCTCCTTTCCCGTCCCTCCTCGTCCCTCCCCGCATCTTCCCTCCGTCGTAGTCTCTCTCATCCCTTCTGCTTCCTTCCTCATGCCTCCTCCACCTCATCCTCCCTCCTTTCTCCCCCACGAGCCATGTCCCGCTGACCTTGCTTCCATACTTTTCGATCTCCTCCTTTTCCTGAGCTTCTCCTCTGGCTCGTGCTTCCGGTCTTCGTCCTCCCTAATCCTCTTCTCCGCCTCCTCCCTCCTTGTCTTCTTCCGCCTCCCTCCCGTTTCGCATTTTCCCTCACCTTGTCTTCGTCGTCGTTGTTCTTCGTCTCCTCCCCCACCTCCCCAATCTGCCTCTGCCCTTTCAAAGTCTGAGTACAACTCTCTGGACTCTCTCTCTCTCTCTCTGCCTTTGAAGTGTCGTGCTTTCGCTGGTACTTTCGCCATATTGCACGATCAGCAGAGGGCCTCCGTCCAACGGGACGACGGTGTCGCAGCAGCGGTGGCAGCGGTGGTTGTGCCTTTGCATGAGGTCACAACGACTGCTGCATTGGGAAAGTGGTGCTCTCGCTGGTGTACCTGCGATGCTCGATCCTTGCCAGGGAGCCTCCACCCTGCGGAAGAAACGCCGCCGCTGCAACTGTGGCAGCGGTGGTCGCCGTCTTGTGGGAACCAAGACGTACCACTACCGCTACTCTCTGGACCTCTCCCAGGGTGCGTTCTGACCAGAATCTCGAGGATAATCTGGCCGTGGTGACGAGGACGCTCCGGGACGATCCGCGGTGTCGTTACCTGCGTCCCTCTCTGATGTTGCACCAGTCCAGAAGAATGCTCCCGCTGCGGGATTGTCACATTCAACAATCTTCGTCGATCTCTGGTGGAGCGGCGCTCTCGCCGCAGCGCTGGCCGTGGCCCCGCATCGGAAAGAGTGCCGCTCCTCGTTCAGCGCGTGCCCTCCCAATGCATGCAAGCCGTCGCAGAAGCTCGGCCGATGTGCGAGGAGCGCGAAACGCCCCTCGCACAAAAAACATTGACGCAACTCTCCCTCCGAACATCCAGAGTTGAGCAGGGACCGGCCGTCCTGGCATTCCTGTAGGAGGCCTACCACGACATGCTCTTAGAGCCAAATAATGATCTGAGAACACAAACGCTGTTCTGAGAACATACAGCCGATGTATACAGACAAAACAGTCTGAGCTAGAAATGTTATGAGAACGTTTCCTGCAAACCACGAACAGTTCTAAGAACATTTTCTGGTGGGCCTACAGGCACACCAAGACGCTTCGACATTGCTTGACAGAGCTGCTCCAGAACGCTCTGGAACAGATTTATCCTCGTCCTCGCCCTCGTCCTCCGCGCGAGCTCTTTGCGCCCCCCACAAAGGGATGGCTCCTGAGTGCGGTGCTCTGCTGCGGAAGCGAAACACACGTGTCGGGAGCGGCCATGGGGGGCAAAGGCATTCTCGGCACCCGGCTCTGCGAATGAAGGGTTCGGCGCAGGGGATGCGGGGAGGGGAAGGGCGTCAGATATGGCGCGATCATTATCCCTCCTCCTTCATCTTCTCCCTTCTCCGTCCTCCTTTTATATTTTTCCTCCTCACGCCTCACTGCTCACTCTCAACTCCTTCTCCTCCTCCTCCTCCTCCTCCTCCTCGTCCTCCTCATTATCTGTTCACCCTGTTTTGTCATCCCTCTCGCCTCCTCTCTCCATATCATCATGTTCTCCGTCTGCCTCTTGCTCCTCCTCCTGCATGTGTAGGTTAGCGTCCTCGTACTCTTCTCGCCCTCCTCTCCTGCTCCTCGCCATCGTCGTCGCCGTCCCCACCCTGATCATCTTCTCTCTCGACCTTGCCATCCTCGTAGCAGGCAGCAGCGGCAGGGACAGACCCAACAGAGAAAGAGAGAGAGACAGAGGAACAACAAAAGTGGAGAAGAGCACAGGGCACTCGAGCATATGGCGCATGACGCCTTGTTTGTAGGGCCTGACACGCCAGGCAGCAACGGCTCTGGGCCGCTCAACCTAGACAACGTGCGTACATGCGTTGAAACTCGTCTTGACGTATACGCTCGAAGTGGAAGTGGGCACCGCGATCTCAGCTTCACACATACACAGAGCCCCCGCAAAGGCGGACAAGCGTGACTGGGCGGAGGTGCTCGGGAATTTACGCGACCCGAGGGAAACAATAAGAAGGTCAACCGAAAACTGCTTTTTGAAATGTAAGCGAGCCCGTCGCCGACGCCACCAGGCGGGTCGCGGAGACGGTACCGGTGTGGGTGGCGGGTCGGGTGAGATAGGTCGCTGGTGGGTGGCGGGTGGGTCGCGGGAACGGCCGCGGCTGGATCGCGGGTTGGGTCACGGGTGGCTGGCGGGTGGGTCACTGGGTCGGCCTCGGGTGGGTGGCGGGAGGGGCTGCGGTTGGGTCCCGGGTAGGTCGCGGGGCGGGTCGCGTCGCGGGGAACGCCAAAGAAGAACGACGATTTGTTCCGCGGAATCCACCGTCAGGCCGCGTGCCTAAGGCACATTCACCACCGTTTGGCCCCCTCACGCTGCCTCACTCTGCCAGCACCGGCAGGAGCAGGAGGATAACCCAAAAAAGGCCACGACGAAGTCGAGGCTGAAGTCTAATCACAGGCAAGAAACCGGATGATGAGCCAGGAAAGGATCGATCTCAAGACGTAAGGGGGGTGAGGACGAAAGAGCGGGTGCAGGAGACGGAAGCACAGGTTGAAAGGGGGAGAACGGGCAGAAACGGCACCCAAATTCTGCGCAGAAGCCTCTGCCTCGTACCCTCCCCGATTTCTCCCAACGGCAGCCATAAGGCAGCTCCGGCTCGTGCGTGTAGTAGCAGGCCGTCTCGAAGGGCACGCGGTTCCTCTGGCCCTGGCGGAAAACTCCAGGTGACGGCTCCTTCGCCTTCCCCCTTACACCTCCTCATGCTCCTGCTCCTCCCGCTTAGCTTCCCCCTCCTTCCCATGTTCCCCCGTCCTTCCCGCCCCCGTCCTCCACCTGCCTCTTCTCATGCTGCTCCTCGCCGTCTTCGGGCTCCTTCTCCCACTGATACTGATACTAATGGCATGCGGATCCTCAATGGTGCTGCCAGTGGCCCCCTCCTGCGGGCACCGTATGGCGCCGCAGGAGGGGGCCATTCAATGGGCCACTCCGCCCGATGTGGTGGGCCGACGACGGACGGAGGGGAGAAACGGACGGGGGACCGCAAAAGGATGTCGAAAGGGAGGGGCACGCACGACGTTCCGAACGAGGAAGGGAGGACGAGAGAGGGGACTGCGGGACGGTGCGGGCGGCGCCCGCCCCACCCATCCCCGCCCCCACCCCATAACCACAAACATCATCACAAATCTAACCATGCCCATCCCACCCTTCCCCCCCATGAGAGGTGGAAATATTTCAGGAACAAGTGTTGCTTGGGAAGTGGAAATATTTCAGGACGAGGATGTAGATGCTGGCGATGAGGAAGTTGGCGTTCAAGGAGGGGTCGTCGTGCATCAGGACAAGGCTGTTGCTGATGACGAGGGAGATGAAGTTCTGGAGGTTGCAGTTCATGGAGAGTAATTGGAGCGCGAGTCGGAGGTCGGGAGGTCGTTTCGTTGGCTGTTACGACGTCGGGCGCGTGGGCACCTCGTGCGGTCGCCCAGTGTTTGGTGGTTCTGGCGAAGGTGGCTGCCGCCAAGGTTCATAGGGCGTAATGATGAAGTCTTTGAGACTGTCAGTGGGCTTGGATATGGGTGCCTTGGCCAGGGTGATCTCCTTCTGGATATTGAGGGCCCGGTTGTAGCTGACATGTTGTCCGCCAATCATTGTCGTCAGGGTGTCGAACTTCTCCTGGATGTCGTCGCGTTGGGGCTGGTACTCGGTGATGATGCCTGAGATCAGAAACTGCTTGGTGTTCCGCATGGCGTTGGTCTGGATGATGGTGCCACGTGCCCATAAGTCATTATTGCTGCTGTAAGATATGCTGATGATTGTGACCTCGTCCCCCTCGTTCACCGTGATTGCGCCGTGGTCGAGAGAATCTGCAACTTGGTGTGGAACGAGCGGCACATGGCTGCCTCCATCGGGAAGTCGATTGCAACGGGGCTAGCTTTCTCGTGCGTAATCGTGGTGATGGGGAAGCAGCCGCTGGCGGGCACGACTTCTATGGCAAGTGGTTGGTTGGCGCTTGGTGCTGTGATGCTGTCGTTGGACGTCGGGTTGGGGCAGCAGGGTTTCCTGATGGCTATGTGCTGCTCATGTGCGTCAAGGTCGTGCTGTCTGGTCTTGACCTCGTCGTCGATCACGTGTGTTGGTTGCTCTGCTTCTTCTTCTCGGACTGGCGGTAGGGTGGGCGGTGCCTCGAATCTCGGAGGCTTCGCTGCTGGGGTCGCGCCGCGATGCTGGATTAGTCGCTGCTGCTGGTTGGGGGGCGGTACAGGTGTTATGTTTGACGGGGTTGCGCTGGTAGATGCGCCTGCATTGTTTGTAGGTGGTTCGTCCGTGGGTAGGTGCGCCATATTATTGAACTCAATCATTGTTTCGTCTTCGTGCCTGTGCAATGTAGCCTCGTGTGTGCTCGCGTCTCGAGTCGGTCGCATCTCGACGTGTACCTCGCGGTCGAAAGTGCTGCGGTCGTCGTATGGTGCAAGTATTGGTCTTGGCGTGGCTGCGTGGCTGCTTGATACGGCGGATGATGTGGCTGACTCGTGGGGGATGCGGGCCTCCCTCAAAAGTGGGTGCGACCGCTAGCACGTCGTTGCCGAAGATGAGGAACGGCCTGGATTCACGTTGACCTTGCGGCGGGAGAAGAAGGCGCCGCCTGCGATGTCGCTGTGCCGCAGGTGTGCTCGGTCAACCCATTCGTGTGCTTATTGTTCCTCATGGTATTGGATCCTTACATTGCCGAGTAGGTCGTGGATGGTCTGTGCCATTGCTTCGTCGACCTGCTCTCGTTTCGCGGGGTGCTCCGGCATTGGGGGGCGGTCGTTGAAGGAGGGGGGTATCGGCCTGAGGCCGCGGTAGAAGCAGCCGCCCCTGTTGATGCTGAAGGCCTCGACGTTCAGGTCCGTTAGCTATCGAATGCAACATGGGTCGTAGCCGACGTCGCCAGGGAACATCCGCTGAGTGGTGCCTGTCTGCGTGTTGTGGTAGTAAGCGAGGCTCCTGTATACGCCGGCGACGGCCTGCCATCCTGGTGGCAGCACTGCAACGCGGTCGAGGTTGCGACGCAGGATGTCGCCTAGATTGTACCTCTGCGGAGCGACTGGTTTGCGGAAGTATCGAGAAGTCGGCGTCGTCGCTGTGGTTTGTATCGGGGCTCTACCTGGTGGTGGCCCCTGTGGCGGTGGCGGCTGGTACTTTGTCGGCGTCGCGTTCTGGTTGGTTAAGAGCTGGAAGATCGTCGGTATAGGTGGTGGAATGGTTTGTTGGACCTGTGCTGTTGTCCTTCCTTGCATGAGCTGCACGTCGGCGTTTGCTGGATTAGCGCGCGTTGGTCGCAGCGCTTGTTGCGGTCGGACTTCTTGAAAGGCTACATTCCCCTCGGGGAAGTAGCTCTGGGTCCAGTTGGTGGGCTGAAAGCCAGAATTACGCAACTTCTGATGCTGCTGGGGCAAGTGGCGAAATCTGTGGTTGTCCTCGTCCTCGATGAGGTATTGTCTTGCTTTGTGGGCGTCCTGTCCAGGTAGCTGGTCGACGCCGTTGACCTTGATCAGCATGATGCCGCCTAGCAGTCTTTCTGCGGGTGGCTTGTATACTGGTTGTTCGTAAGAGGTCTGTCTTATCTCTGGTGATGCATCTCCATCTGTGGTACAGCCTGCGTGGTAAACTATGATTTCCTTCTTGTGTGCCCCCGCGTTGACGTTGACGGTTCCGTCTGTAATTGCTGTGCGTGCCTCCAAGGTCGCGGTGATATCCTGTAGTAGCTTGGCTTGGTATTCGATGAGGGCGTTGTCTATGATTGAGGGCCACTTGGGGAAGTCGCTGGTGGGCGAGCTCAGCGTTAGGATCGTCACGTGGTCGATTTCCTTCGTGGGTAGTTGTGGCGTTCGGCATGTTGTAGGCGTGCGGTTTTTTCGTTGGTGGCAGAAGAATACTGGTACTCGATGTCCTCTGAGGTCGGTTTCTTGGCAGCGCAGTCCACAAAGTTTCTATGGAGCGATGTGATGGCAATCGACGGGTAGTATGTAGGGGGTGTAGTGATCCTCCTCCGCGGGATTCCACGGAGTCTCTTGCGCATGCTGCCAGTAGAACAATCTCCGAGGTGGGGTGCAGCGTGCCGTAGATGTCTGTGATTGCCACGAAGTACGCATTCTCGGTGAATATATATGTATGCTGACGTGGATGGCGTTGCACTCTATCTCCTCGAAGTTGTGGCGCTTTTCCATGCCTTTCCTGTTGGGGATGTACAGCGCCTGGAGGTTCGCGAAAGGCTTGTCGTTCTTGTGCTTCCAAGGTGGTGCTTGTAGTAGTGGTGGCCCGGTGGTTGCCAGCCTTCGGAAGTCGCGCCGCTCCTAGTTGTGGATGGGGATCTTCTTGGGGCCACGGTCGTTTGCTGTATCTTCTTGTGTGCGGTATTTTGTGACAGTGCGGTAATGGGGGCAATGATCGGGTCGATCCATCCAATGGTCTGTGTCGGTCCATAATTCGTTGTTGGAGTGCGCGGTGCAGTTGTCAAGTACAGTACCCAACTCTTTGTCTGACCTTGTCCTTCCAAAACTCCCCTGTTGCTGCGAGGGAGGCAATGGTGCTGTGTAGTCGGTAGGTGGTGCGTACGATGCTTCCCTTCACTGCTGCATGTACGTGGACATATCCAGGTCGAGGTAGACGTAGTTGTAATTGCGTGACAAGGTTTCGGCCGCGTTGACTTTCCGGGATGGCCTTGCGACGCCAGTGCAACGAGCCGCGCTTCGTGGTTCTGCTTGGGGGTCTCCTGGTGTAGATGAGCGCCTTCTTGTTGTCGTAGTCCTTGCCGTAGGCCATGAGGGTCGGCATGCCTTCTTGTTGGTATTCCGGTGGTGCCTTGCTTCTTGTTCTTCGTGGGGCTGAGTTGATAACTGCAAATCGTTGCTGGTTGCCGTGGTCTGAGTCCTTGCCTCCGTTGGCGCAGTGGAGCTTTACCTCGGTGATGTCGATGAACTTGGGTCATGTGGCAAACGGGTCTGCAGGTATCAAAATATACTCTTCCTGATCTTGATGAGGTACTGTAAGCCGATAGGGTGTTGATCCAAAGAAGGCTTCATGCTGTGCTGATCTTGGCGCAGGTGGCGCCGGGTGCGCGCGGGTCGCCAGTGCCCATCTCTTGAGCCGGAGCTGCGCTACAGTTGCGGTGGTCACGTGGCAAATCGAATTTTCGCGGGTCATGGCAGTAGGGAGGGGGCTTCCTCTTCAACAGAGTGGGCGAACGGACGCCGCGGTGATGCGCGTCAGAACGTCTGCTGAAGGCACTGTCTGTATACTAAACAATGGACCGCCGTGGCCCGCATTTGCGGGGTGGCCACCATCCGTCGTCTGCCTGTAGAACTTGGTCGTGTAAACTCTTGCTCCATTACATGTAATAACACGGGTCCAGGGGGGCGTAGAAGTTCATCAGGTCGTCTTCCAAGTCACCTGCCTGGCGGTCTGTTGGCCGAGTCCATCTCTGGTAGCTGGCATCCATGATGGCGCAAGCCATGAGTCTACACATCTCCGGGGTGTGTTTCTTCTCGCAACGTCTTTGCCCATTGCCGTGGTTGCTCTGTCCAAGTGAAATGTGGCTTTGTCCTGAACTGTGATTGCATCTTCCGCTGTTGGGTAGTAGTGCAATCAGACGCCGCAATTTTGGCACCTGTATTGTGAGTAATGTAGCTGGTCTCATTGCTGCATGTCCAGTCATGCAGTGGTCCGAGGTG